ATTCGAAGTAGAGGCTCTAACAGTGGCACAAATCAAGTTACAGAGGGAAGGTAGTTCTTAAAATAAAAGGCTTGTTGACTAGCACTTTGTCTATTACAGTATAAAGGTTAGGAACCACAAGATGTAGAGGCTCAACTATGTCATTTATTGTTCTTAAGTCCTGGAGCAAATTTCATCTACCACTAGGTTGTTTTACAGCTCGGAAGCCTTCATGCAAGGCAGAGGTGAAGTAAGGAACTGCTTATGAGGCTTTCCGTCAGTTCCCACAACTAAGAAATAGTGAGAAGAGTTGGGACCTCAGAAGACTTTTAGGACCAAATAGTAGGCTCTTGTGTCCAGGAGAAGGCAAATGTACTTACCAGTAATGTTAATGCTCACCCACAGCCCTTCTGGGAGGATCTAAATTGTTGAAGCGTCCTCCTTTGTTAGATTTGTTTGTTCTTTTGACAGTCTTGTGCTGTATTAGAAAAGGTGAGAATTGTTCATGGTTTGTCTATCCTCATATCTTTAGATCTGCTTTTGTAGAAATTCAAGAGCTAGAATTTCTTGATTTGACTCCTCATCCCACTGTCATCCCTGAGTACTTGGCCTGTTTTATATTTTTACCTCATTAGTCTGTACATTTGCTTTAAGTTAGAGTAGATTTTAGTTGTGGCTTATAGTTTTTTTTTCCCATAATTTGTTTCTAGACAAAAATACGTGACAAGCATATGATGAATTGATCCCTTTTTTTTTCTCCCTTTAAAAAGAAATATAATAGATTGCTTAATTTCACAGAAGCAGAGTAACTTGTGCATTAAAAAGAAAATTCCATTAGTATTTTTCCATCAGAAAAACTTACGTGATTTTAAGTTTGTACTCTTAAAATGGTCAGTGCTATGAGGCCTGGTGACAGTGTGTTTAGGACACTCAAACTCAGCTGCTCCCCTGTAGCTCAGTCCATGGAGAGAAGGCCTGACACTTTGTGACTCTAAGGCCTATAGTCTGTGGGAACCCTGTGGGTGGTGGTGCTCTGTGAGGTTGGAGTTGCTGTGACTTAGACTCTTAATTCACAGCATCTAGTGGCAATGATGGTTGCTTTGCACCCGCAGTCCATTTTAATGTCTTTCCTTTGCAGCCTTCAGGCACTTGAAATTTGCTATTAGGGTTTGATTGGAGAAATTTAAGATTGGAAGGGAAGAGGAGAAGAATTCATACATCTTTTCCAAACAACGCAAATGATTAAGAGCTAAAAACACTAAAAATTTCACAGTAAAAAAATAAAAGCTTCATAGTAACTTTTGAAATCAACTTAATTAGATAGGAACCATAATGTGTTTTGTTTCCTTCTTTAAATGTGTGTTTATTGCTTTTCTGCTTAGTACTGATGACTGAAAATATATATTCTGCAATTGTAGAATAGCTTTGTATCCAAAACAGAAAGTATACTTCCTAATTATTGTTGTTGTTACATGCTGTCAAGTTGTAGATGACTCATAGCGACCCTATAAATGAAAAACCTGAACACTTGTATAACTTTCATCATTTCTCCAAGTTCATAGAGTTTCCAGAGGCAAGCCATTTTGGAAGTGGAAGTGGATGCCACTCCTGCTTCCACACTTGTTTTAATCAGGAAGCTCCACCAAACACTGTCCACCATGGGTAACCATTATCGCATTTAACACATCAGTGTCACAGTGTTTAGCGTCACAGCAAGCACGAATTACCTCTGTACAACAAATGGACAGACCAGTGCTATACCACTTAGAAGAATATTTGACCAAAAACAATTAAAACCAGCCCTGAAGGCTGCAGATTGAAATTATGCACCTTTGGCTTGGTAGTAGAACTTTCTGTCCACTAGGCCAACAGAGCTCTCTGTTGTCATTAAGTGCCTTCGAGTGTAGACCTCTCAAAGCGACCCTTTGAATGAAAGATCTGAACAATTGTATAACATTCATTGTTTCTCCACTCATAGAGTTTCCAGAGGCAAGCTGTTTTGGAAATGGATGCCACTACTTCCAAGCTTGTTTTAATCAGGAAGCTCTACCAAACACTGTCCACCAACATTGTCGAATCTGGCTGCTGCAGATAACTTCCAACCTGCATTCCAGCCCCATACTGCTGACCAAATGCATTTTTAAACAGGAGTCCGAATCACACATCTCAAACGCATTGGCGAGTCAACATTCCACCCTAATCCTCACCAAAACCAGCAAATAAGCCTCTGTAGAGTCCTAAATATAGTAATACAGGGGTTTTGTTGTTGTTATGTGCTATTGAGTCTCCTGCAACTCAAAGCAATCCTATGTACAACAGCCCTAAAACCTGCTCTATCCTGTGCCAGTCTTATTGTCTCTGACACACCTACCCCAGTCACGGAATCAATCCACCTCATAGAGGGTCTTCCTCTCCTGTGTTGTCCCTCCACATGCCCAAGGTATGTCAGATGAAATTTCAGAATCCTTGCCTCCAAGAAGCAGCCTGGTTTAACCCACTCCAGGAGAGGGTTTGTTTTCTTAGCAGTCCATGGTCTATTCAGTATGTTCTCCAACACCACAGCTCAAATACATCAGTTCTCCTTATCATCCCTGGTCATTGTTTATTATCGGGGGTTTAGGGATAAGGAAATACTCAAGTGGATGAGAGAGAAGAGTTAGAAAAGAAGTGTTGTCAGATTCCTTCAGTTCCATTGCTTTGAATATAGGTGCTATTTCTTTCAGTTTTAACTAGTTCTTTATAAAATTAAGTTCACTTTTAGAATTAAAAACTTCAGCATTTAATTCCTTTACTTGTGTTCAGACATTTCAACAAGATTCAAGATTTTGATGACAGTTTTTATCGACGTAAGTTGTCCATTTGTAATGAAATTTCCATTACATTCTTACTAACTTTTGATAAGTTTCTGCCAAAGATCATTACCTGTTTGAAACCCGTATCTTTAGTTGCTGCTAGCTTTTTATACTGATAATTTTCCACTGAGGTTTTTGACTGCTGAAGCAGAAGGCCCTGTTTTAGCTCTTGGGTGAGTGGGCACCCAAGCGTTAGAAACTCACAGTGTCTCTGATTGTATGTATGCCTTGGTGAAAAATGGAAGTTACAGTGTTGTAGGGGTTTTTTCCCCAACTTATGAAAGTATAAATTTTATGTAAGTCTAGCTTTTCTTTAAACTACACTTTTTTTTACCTTCATAGAATTTCATATTATTGTTTGTGGACTGGACTCTGTCATTGCCAGAAGATGGATAAATGGCATGCTGGTAAAGACTCTAATGTTTACTTTTGTTCTCTAATGTTCTTACTGTTGCTTTTGATATATTGAAAGTTAGAGTTGCTTATGATAGGTTTTAAGAGTCAAGGTTTTATTTTAATTTCTTGCCAGTCATTTGTGAAGGTCTAAGTTACAAAAATCCCAAACCTTTGATTTTGATACATTAGTACTCAGTGAGGAGATCTACTTGTAGAATTAGTGAGTGTATACCCCTCTGAAATAAAATCTCTTTTTAAACTTTTTATATAATTTTTATAGATATCTCTTCTAAATTATGAAGATGGCGTGTTAGACCCAAGCTCCATAATCCCTTTGATAGATGGAGGGACTGAAGGCTTTAAAGGAAATGCCAGAGTGATTCTGCCTGGAATGACAGCTTGTATTGAGTGTACACTGGAACTTTATCCACCACAGGTAATTCAAAGAGGGCGTGCATTTGTTTTCTACAACCCTGGGATCAGGATAGATTAGTGTTGAATAGATATATCTAATCAGTATTTGGTTTGAAGCCACCAGCTGCTCTGCAGGAGAAGGATGGGCAGTCTCCTGTGTGATTAACTGCCTCTGAACCTTGCCGGAGGGTCTGGTATGGGTTAGTTCCTACCTGATGGTACACAGTAGTAATCAGTATTTAAGATTTTAAGTTAGGAATTTAGTTAGGTATAACCATATTTTTAAAGTTAGATAAGAAAAAATAAAATATGAAATTCTGCCTGATTTGAGGAAAGATGAGAGTTAAGTTTGATTTTAAATTCCTTTATGTTCATTTTTTTTTTACGCATGTACCGTCAAATTGGCTATGACTGGTACAGGAGGCGACTGTTCCTCCTTCAGCAGAGCATCTGGTGGATTTGAACCGTGCACTTCTGGGATTGCAGTGCAGTTTCCTGCCAGTAGGCCACCAGAGCTCGCCTATATTCATATTTTTATGTGCAGAGTTCTTCAGGGATAGAACTGTTGTCTATTCATCTTCAATTTCTTCCTCCTTCAGGGAAGTAAAGATGACAGGCATGAAAGTGATGTTTCCAAATATGAGACTTTTTAATCTAATACACACTTTTTAGAATAGCATGGAAATTTGAGTTAAAAGAAGAACAATTTTATAAGTATTTACTTGAAATTGATTTACCATTGAATTTGTAATTTTGTTTTATAAAAGTTAGGTAGACATAATAAGAGCATACCTTTTTAAGAAACAGCCCCTATTGAAGAACTCTGCTTACCTGGATTTTTTCCATGGTCTTAAATTTATATAGCTTGTAAATTAAAGGCTTAAGTTTATATACCTTATAAATTAATGAAAATGACAAGAATGTAAAGCTATATAAATGGAAGGCAAAATTGGATTAAAAGAAAACTGTTAAAAACTACATAATAAATAGAAGATGCATTTAAAAGAATTTGTTGTTTAAAATTACTAAAAAGGCAACCTGTGGTTTTAGGTTAATTTTCCCATGTGCACCATTGCATCTATGCCCAGGCTTCCAGAGCACTGTGTTGAGTATGTGAGAGTGCTGCAGTGGCCCAAGGAGCAGCCTTTTGGAGGTAATAAACCTGACCTAATAATCTAGAGTGGTGTAACATGCGTGTTTGTCAGTATTTATTTAGATAATTATATTTACAAAGCAAATTACTTTTGTTTTCTATTTCTTTCATCTACCCGTTTCCTTGTTTTTCTTTTCCTTTTTAACAGAAGGTGTTCCTTTAGATGGAGATGATCCTGATCATATTCAGTGGATTTTCCAAAAATCCCTTGAGAGAGCATCACAATATAATATTAGGGGTATTACATACAGACTCACTCAAGGTAAGTTAGTGCATTTTCATGAATGAAGTTTTTTGGTGTTTTTTTTTTTTAGAAATGAAGATGATTTAGGGTAAGAAACTCTAAAAACTTTTTTTAAGAAAAGTAACTCTAGATAGTGTAGAGAATTCGAAGTTTCATAATGGAAGCAAGGGAATATAGATTGCATGTATCTAAAAATACAAGGGAACTGAGTTTAGCAGAATCCATACTAGTTAGCTAAGAAAAGTTGAATAATTGAATTTATTTACTTAATATTGGAAGAGGTTCCAAGTCCTTAAAGTGAGACTACCTACACCTCTTAAAGCATCTGTCTTAACATTGGGACAGACTGTTGGACACTTATTGTATGTGTTGAGCAGACATCTTTAATTTACTCTGAGTGTTATCACAGGGTGCCATATAATATTTAATTCCCCTTTCAAGTAATTGCCCACTTTATATGAGGACAGCCCTTTAATCTTTTGTTGCATTGCATGGTGTCAAAATTGTGTTGTTTTTCTCCAGTCATTATTATGGGTAATTCTAGAACTTCTTGTTTCTCTGCTATATTATCTAGGCTAAAATGCACCAGTCTAAGGTTGGTCTTGCTCTAGACAAGAGAGTTCTGGTGACTGATACAATAGAAATGAAAGTCAAGGAGTTTTTGTTTGTGTGCATTAATCATACATGTTATCTTCTTTCAATCAAAGACTCTGGACGTTTTCTTCCTATATACAACTGCTAAGCCATCTTCCCATTGCAGATTTAGCATTTTTGTGTAGTTATTTTTAAACTTCAGTATTTTTGTTGTGTGCCGTTGAGTTGGAATCAACTCATAATTGATCCTCCAGTGCGTTTTCAGATGTAATAAATCACATGGGAGGATACTGACCATTCTTTTCCACAGAGCAGCTGGTGCATTTGAACCACATACCTTGGAGATTGCTGTGCATTTTCTCACAGAGCTCCCCATAGAGCTTCACAAATGTATTAAGATTCAAGATTTTTTTTACAGGGTGTGCTAGTAGTTTAGGAGTTACACTGCCAACCGAAAGACATGTGGTTTCAGTCCACCAGCTGCCCTGGAGGAGAAAGGTAGGCAATCTCCTCTCATGATTTATTGCCTCTGAAAACTTACTGTGGGTGAGTTTCATAACAGTAGCAACATTCTATGTTTTATTTACATTTATTATATTTATCTTTTTATTATTTATTTGTATCTTTTTTTTATGCCTACCAGTTTAACTATTTTCAATTTAATCTTACCTGATAACCTGGTAATCAGTCATATTCTTTCTCACATTTTCAAAATGATCGATTGGAGAGAGTGTAACAGCTAGGCAGAAAGTGGTCTCCTGATGCCCTACACACCAGTACCACCAAGGACAATTACAAACTTTAGAAGAGGCAGGTGCAGGTAGGAGAGTTTACCAACAGGGTATGGGAGACTTGAGAGGAAAGCTGCATAGTTGGTTGGGGTCCTATTGCCTTTACCCCTTACCAGATAGAGAGCAGCTGTTGGTCTCAGGCCACACTAGGGTCCACCAAGGACAGTTAAAAGTTTAGAAGAGGCAAGCAGTGCTCAGGCAAGATACCTGTAGGGCAGCACTGCAGTCCAGAGAGAAATGGAAAGGTGAGCTTTCTCACTGTGTAGAATCAGGAAGGATACCTGATATAGCATGTTGCCCTCACCCATAAAAGGTAAACTTTAAATCTGCAGCTAATCCATAACATATAGAACTGTCAAAAACCTAGTCAGACACAATAGAAACAGCCTAAATACATACCAAGAAAAACTTCACATATTGTCAAAAAAGCAGCAGGCAGTTTCAAGCATTGCAAAAAACCAAGAGAAGCCTTCTAAAAATGCAGAGCATTTTGCAGACCCAGTGAATACCTCATAGACAGAGATGTAGAAGGAATATATTGACATGGAGTCATATGAGCATCTACAGAAGAAAGTACAAATGATGGAAGAAGAAATGGAAGCCATAAATAAAGTGAATACTCCAGAGTCAGGGAGCCAGAAGAAATATATTGACACAGAATATAACAATTATAGAAAAAATTGCAGAAGATGAAAGAAAGAATTGAAACAATATAAAAGAATAGTAATACGTGAAAATGCAATCCAGAATATCAAGATAGAAATAGCAGAAGTTTCCAATATTCTGGAGGGACAAAACAGAACAGAATAGATGGAAAGGAGAATCAGTGAGGTGGACGACGAACCTCATTGGGAACATAGTAGAAGACAGGAGACTGAAGGAAAATAAAACTAGAATTATGTGGAATGACATCAAAAGGTAGAATAGATATACCAAAATTCCAGGACATGAGGGAAACAGAGAACGCACTGAGTAAATTGTAGAAAAAATACTAGAAGAAAGAGGATATTCACATTCAAGAATCTTGATGAACCCCAGGCTAGACCCCAAAAATCAAAATATCAAGATGTGTCATAGTCTGGGAGCTCTGGCAGCCTAGTGACAAGAAGCAGCACCGCAGTCAGGAAGGTTCATGGTTCGAATCCACCAGATGCTCCACTGGAGGTGGAGAGGCAATCTCCTGTGCCAGTCAGATCTGATTTGACAGCACACAACAAGGAAAAAAGGGGGGGGGGAATTTACATAAAGACATAGTCAAATTCTCCAAAATCAAAGATAAGGCTAGAATACTAAATACAGCATGAGAAAAACAAAAAATTACCCACAAAGGAGAACAAATAAAATTAATTTCTGATTTCTCAACAGTAACCATACAAGCAAAAAGACAATGAGTTGGAATATACAGAAGGTTGAAAGAAAAGAACTACTAACCGAGGATCCTTGGACTCAGCAAAGCTGTCCATCAAATTAAAAAGAGAAATTAAGTCATTTGCAGAAAAACAGGAATTTGTGAAAAATAAGACCAACTCTACAGGAAATTCCAAGGGAAGTCCTTCATACAGAGACACCACACTCAGTGGATGAACTACAGTAACCAAAAATAGTAGAAAAAGAAATATAGCAAAATGGCAGTGATAAAATCTGGCCTGTCAATTATCACACTTAATTACATGGATCAATTAAGAGAAAAAGTAGCAGAATAAAAATCCCCACAAAATAGCCTATCAATATGTTGCCTACAAAAAACACGTTTACAGCTGCTCTGCTTTGGATCTAGCACAGTGCCTTGCATCACGTAGTTCAATAAATATCTGTTCATGACAAAAAAAAAAGACACGTTTAAGAAATAAGGAAAAAAGACTAAAAATTAAAGGGGTGGGGAAGAACATAAGCAAATAATACCACAAAGAAGCAGGAGTGGCAATACTAATCTTTTATAAAATAGACTTCAGGATGCAAACCACCCTAAAAGACAAGGAAGGGCACTATATTATTATTAAAGAAAAGCACAGTGGATCAAGAAGACCCTTGATCATTATCTATGCACCATATGATAGACCTGAAAAATAAATAAAACACCTAAAAATAAATAAAACACTTGAAAGAAATACACAGCACCACAATACTGATAGGAGACTTTAACACACATCTACACCAAAGGATAGGTCAATGAGAGAGAAACTTAACAGAGTTGCTCAAGAACTAAACGCTACCATCAGCCAACTTGACCTCGTGAATATATTCAGCCCACCAAAAGTTAGTTCACTGTTTTCTCAAGTGCATATGGTACATTCTCCAGAATTGATCAAGTGCATATGGTACATTCTCCAGAATTGATCATATATTAGGACACAAAGCCTCAACAAATTCAAAAGCGTTGAAATAATATAAAGTATCTTTTCAGGCCACAAAACCATAAAACAAAATGAAGGACAAGAGGTTAAAGCTTATAAAACCCCTCATGTGAAAGCTAAAGAATATCCTGCTAGAACACAGTTGGGTTATAGAAGAAAAAAGAAATGAAATTTTTAAAGTTCCTAGAAAGAAGTGATAATGAAATTACAGTATACCAAAACCTCTGGGATACAGCTAGGGCAGTCCTCAGGGGCCAGTTTGGCAAACACATAAAAAAGGAAGGAAAAAAAGTGGCAGAGGGTAACACTGATGAATGAAACCCTCTAACAGTTAAGTTCCTGTGTGCATCAAAACTTTTTAATGGTATAAAAGGAAAATCTACTGATTGGGGGGCGGGGGGACAATACTGTCTCAGAAAAGGGTCACATAACGAAAGTTTACAGAATGCTGCAGAGCCTCCACAAGAAAAAGTTTATATCCCAGTTACAAAAGCGACAAAAGATATGGAAAGAATTTTCACAGAGAAAGACATTCTGATGTCCAACATGAAGAAATGCTTAAAATCACTGACATTAAGAGATGCAAATTAAAAAACAATCACAACACAATGAGATACCATCTCACTCCAGTAGCAATGGCAAAGTTTAATAGGATAGCAAGCAAGAAATGTTGGAGAGTATGTGGAGAGTTTAGAACTCTCATACACAGTTGGTGGGATTGTAAAATGGTACAACACCAAATTTGGAAGGCAATTTGGGATTCCTCAAAAAGCTGAGCATAGAAGTTCCATATGACACACCTATTCCACTGCTAGGAATATACCCTAAGGAAAATAGAGCTGAAACACAATCGGAGATTTGTACACCAATGCTCATGGCAGTGTTATTCACAGTCACAAGAACATGGGCACAGCTCAAATGTCCAACCACAGTTAAATGGAATGAGAAAGAGTATGGGGGTAGGAGGGGGAGGATGTAACAGAGTTTGGTGGGTCAAGGGAAGGGATGAAAGAATTAGGAAAGGTCAATGGGGACCTGGAAAGCCCAAGTGATAGTGGACCAGATGAGTGGTAATTAATTTTATAAAACACAGTATGAATGACGGAATATGTGAAACAGTGTATATGAATGGAACAATATAAGAATTTTGTATTCAATGTAAAAAATTTTTAAAATGATTACTTGAGAATAGACATTGGAATTAGAGCCTTGTGGGCCTCTTTTGAATTACCTTACTGTGTTAATGAGACCACCTTGAATACTTCATTGATTTTGTCTAATTCTCAGGTCATTATAAAAGGCCCTTTCAGATGTCCTTCTAACGCCCTGTATACTGTCTTACATTTACCTGTGGTGCCAAGCGGTAACAGCGCCTAAAGGAGGCTGGTTGCTCATGACTTGTCCCAGTGAGCAGTCATCATAGTAAGGGTCCTGGCGCAGAAATCCAGATGCTCACAATTCACCCTTTGCAGAATTTGACCAGGGTCCTTACTAGATGCACTATGATTTTCTTTTCGGATACCTTGTGTTTCTCGTCTGTAGATCTGTCTTACATTTACTGAGCCTTTAGTGATAATATTGGAAAATTGTCCTTCTGTACACTCTGTGTTGCTTCTCACACGCCCTATTCTGACCTGGTTTAGAGTAGTCTTAGAGCTTTAGCACTTGTTGATCCCTGTGGCTAGAATATTCATTCCTCTAATCTTCTGAAGACTGCCTTATTACTCAAGTGTCAACCTAAATAATTTTTCTAATTATCCAGCCTGAATGCCTTCTCAGTCACTTAGTAGTTTATCTTTTCCCCCTTTTCTCATATCGTACTGCCCTGGGGCCTATCCCTGGCAGTCTGTGCTGTGGAGTGCTTTTCCCCAGGTCGTTGGGGTTGCTGGGTTTTTTAATAGTGTAGGTTTCAGCTCACATGTCACCTCCCTGAAAGGCTTATTCTTGACCATCTTGCATCATGTACTGCTGACCATCATCACTCTTAACACATACTTTTTTTTTTTAGTTTTTTATTCTTTAGTGTTCTTTATTCATTGTGCAGCTTTCAAGTGAATATGAGGCTTTTGAAAATTGTATGCCCTGTGTCAAGGACACCTTAGTCATCAGAACAATATCTCTGCTTAGATGTTCCATCCAATAGCATCCAAATAAAAAATACTTTCATTGTCATCACGTCAGAACCAATTCTTAGCTGGCCCTCCCTTAACACATGCTTTTTAGAAGTTTTTTCTGTATCTAAAATTTTCCAGTGATTTGTGTACTGTTTTTCCAACTAGGAGGAAAGCACTTCTAAGAGCTGCTGCCTTCTTCAGTGCTATGATACATGTGACACTTCGTAGTGTTTGGCATATTGTAGATATTTGGCAGTTGTTTGAATTAACAAATGAATTCAGTTTGTCCCAATAACAAATGAATTCAGTTTGTCCCAATTAGGAGCTGTAAACCCTTTACAATACATGGTCCCTTTATTCTTTAGCCTTTGTTAAGCTTCATGAGTACTTTTCAACCTGTTAGTCAAAGTCCTTAACAGGAAGTACAAAAGCTAATTTGAATTGAAGTAACCCAAACAGTAATGTTACACATTTTGTGAGTATTTTCTTTACTGTCAATTTAAAAAAAAAAAGTTTTACTCTTGTGTACACCAACTTCTTGATCATTTTGGTCATGCTCTTGTGGGGCAGTGTCTCGGGCAATGTCTCAGTTACTCGCTGTTTGTGATGACCTTCTCTTCTCAGTAAATCCAGCGTTACCTGTTTACTGGAGAATTTCTACTTTACCCACTTTTACTGTTTCTGTTCTCTGAGATGAGACACAATCATGTGGTCAGTCAATTTTAAAAGCACCTCCAACCTTCTCTACTTTCATGTTTCTTTAGCTTTTTGCTGAAGTTTTTGTGACTCTGCAGTGTTAAGGATAATCATCAGTACTGTCCCCACATTCTAAAAGAATCTGGCTACTTTCTTCTCCTCAAGTGATGGTCATTTAAAATGAATAATTTAAACATAGTTATATTTATTTGTACTTAAAAATTGTTTAAGGTAGGATTTTAATCATTCCTAATTTGAAAAATTAGGGAGCTCTGATGCTGCAATGTCTAAGGCTCATGGTTCGAGGCCACCAGGCGCTTCACAGAAGAAGGATGGACAGTCTCCTCCCATGTGATTAACTGCTTCTGAAAACCCGCTGGAGGGTTGGCTATGATTCGGTTCTGACTCTGGTACATGACAACAATTTGAAAAAATGAAGTAGGATTAGAGAATTTTGGTTATTATTTCACGAAATCCAGGTTTGTAGAGTAGAACAGAAATGACAACGATTATTTCTTCATATTTTACTAAAATTTTATGGCTGACATTATTTCATCCTTTTTATACTTGATTCAGTTATCAGAGTTTTGTATAATGGAAAAGTTGATTGAATTACCATCCTAAAATTTACTAGATGTATAGCTGAGTAAATAGGTTCAATTCATTTAAATCTCATTTACTTAGCTTTAAACTGAGAGTAATAAGACTCACATAAAGATGCTGTGACAATACTTTTTATACTTGATATTATGTTACTGTTGCACTTCATCTAAAAATCAGTTGAGACCCTCTACTTGTCTTTGGTACTTTACCTTGAGATTCTGAATGTGCTACACAAAATGATGGGCCTGAAAGAAGTCTAACTTGAAAATCTTAAAAATATTAGGAAAATTATATTTGCTTACATTGTCTTTATTTATTTTTTTTTTACATTGTCTTTATTAAAATAAGACCCTGATAGTACAGTGTTTAAGGTCTTGACTACTAACCAAAAGTTGGATAGTCGAGGAGCACCTAGGGAGAAAGAAGTGAGAGTTGGTTTCTGTAAAGATTTGCTCCCTCAATTGCTGCCTCTCGAGTTAGAACTGATTCATAGTAAACTCTTCAGTGAGTGTTCAGAGACTATAAATTGCAGGAGAGGCGATTGCTCATCTCTTTCCTGTGGAGTTGCTGGAGGTCTCAAACCACCAGAAAGGCACCATCTTCAGTGCACCTTCCTACGGACTGTGCCATAAGAAAATGACGTTGAAATCTCTGGAGCAGTGCGACTCTGTCCTTACGGCCTCTAGAGTCAGGTTAATCTTACAGCAACTGATGGATGTATGGGGATGTTAAAATAATTATTTTGTTAAAGAAATTACCATATTTTAATTAATATTTTGCAGGGGTTATAAAACGAATCATTCCTGCAGTAGCTTCCACAAATGCAGTTATTGCAGGTGAGGAAAAAGGAAATAATGTAATTTTTTAAATTTTTGTTGAATCTTGTGTATTTTTTTTTGTCTTAAATTATGCCATTGTAGTGCCATTCCTTTTAATCAGCATAGTAGACACCTAGTTTATCTAAGACGAATAAAAACATGTACAATTAAATAAAAAAAAACAAACATGTACTGTTACTCTATAACTTGGATTATAGAAACAAAGTACTGTTTTTTTTATAAATAGACATAGACAAACATGCACACTCAAATGTATTTTAATGTTTTTAAATTACAAAAACCATGAATGTGGATAAACATTCTTTTTAGATGTCTGTCTTCTAATTGACAATTATTTTTAACTGCTGATTTTAAATGTATAATTTTCATGGCGTTAAAATACTTATGTTTGTTTCTTTTCAGCTGTGTGTGCCACTGAGGTTTTTAAAATAGCAACAAGGTAATGGAATTTATATTTTATATTTAGTGACTGTATTATGAGCTGTCTCAGTCACATCAGGATGAAAATTTTTCATTACAGTGCATACATTCCCCTTAATAATTACTTGGTATTCAATGATGTCGATGGACTGTACACATATACATTTGAAGCAGAGAGAAAAGTGAGTAGTATTAATGAAACATACTTTGTATATGCATACTTTTAAAATGCTAATTACTGGTTAGTAACTTGAACCAATTGTCCACACCCTAAATATATTATTTTCTAACTTCCTGAACTTTACTTACTGTATGTCTTTTGGTTTTTTGTTTTTTTTTTTACTGTATGTCTTTTGTAATATAGCCTGAAAAAAGAAATACTGTGTAGCTTAAGTATTTTTTTAACTGTTATGAAAATGGATTTTAAAAGCACAAGAAAGTATTCTTAGGTAATATGCATGATGATAAACTATTTCCATTTCTGTCACATTATTTTTAGAGCATTTTTGTCATGTGCCAGCATGATTGATGTGTTGTATTTTATATATGTAGGAAAATTGCCCGGCTTGTAGCCAGCTTCCTCAAAATATTCAGTTTTCTCCATCGGCAAAACTACAGGAGGTTTTGGATTATCTAACGAATAGTGCTTCTCTGTAAGTGTTTAATATTTTTATTACATTGTGAAATTAAAAACCTATAATTTCTTTATTACTTTGATCCTTCTTCTTATATTTAGGCAGATGAAGTCACCAGCCATTACAGCCACATTAGAGGGAAAAAATAGGACACTTTATTTACAGGTAATCAGTACCGAATTTTCGTGTAATTTTCTAAAGAAAAATCAAAAGCTTAATTGCACCTTAATGTGCTTTAAAATAATTGTTTTTGTGCATTGAAACAGATGAGGGAGAGGACAATTTAAAAGTGCTTTATGATTGGGTATTATGGTTATGATAAGAGTCCAGAATGAAGCTTGCATAGTGGAGTGTACTGGAGGGGCGTGTGGATTGTATACCGATGAAAGAATTTTACTTTTTAAGAGAAGAGCGAACTGGGGAGGGAGGTGTGGGCAGGGAGAAAAATGCAACAATAAATAAATGGAAATCCAAAATCTATGTAAATGTTCATTAACATTAATAAACATTTAAAAGAACCATTTGTTTTCTAGTCAGTAACCTCTATCGAAGAACGAACAAGGCCAAATCTCTCCAAGACATTGAAAGGTATTTTAAATAGATTTTCCAATAGTTTTCTTCTTTTTAAATGGAGGTAGGAATGAAAATAATTCATGCTCTGTTGTGAATATTTGTTCTTAATGCAGTCCTTAAATAAGGATAAAATTATAATTACTTACCTTTCTAGATGTATTAATAATAGAATTGGTTTTTTATTTTAAAATCTCATGAAATCAGTATATCATTTTGATTAAAGGTAATGGGATTTTTATGTTTATACTCTGGTGAATGAGAGAGTGTTGTTTTTTGTGGGGGGTGTTTTTTGTGGGTTTGTTTTTTGGGTTTTTTTTTTTTTAGATTTTTCCTTGTGTTAATTATCCTTTTCTCATTTTTAGAATTGGGACTCATTGACGGGCAAGAACTGGCAGTTGCCGATATTACAACACCACAGACTGTTCTATTCAAACTTCATTTCACTTAAGGAAAATAAATCTGCACAAAATAGCAAACCCAAGGAAATACTACACTTTGTGGATGCTAAGAAATTGAATGTAAATTTTAGCATTAGTGTTGCTGGAACTTGAACCTTTTTTTCTTTTTAATATCACAGACCACTCTTTTTTAAACTTTATAACTTTACCTTGAAGGCAGAATTTTGGAGCTAGTGCCTGTAAGCATTTTCACTAATAATTGAAGATATAAAGCCTGGAGAGATGATGTGCAAAGGTACAGTTTCCCTTAAAGGAGAGCAAAAATCCCCCTGTTTGTGACTTATGTTTGTTAGTCAGAGAACCCATTCCTCAGCTTTCAGTTGAGCATCCACATTACAAAAAATGCCCCTAAAGAAAACAAGTTTTAAATAACATTAAAACATTACCACCTGTCTGCTATATAGAGCATATTGAACGTAAAATATTTCTTGCTTGGTTCAATATTAACTCAGTTGTAACTGTTCACATGAATATAAATTAATGCAGAAAGTTATACTGTCCAAAACAATTGGTAGACATTGCAACTAAATACCTATGCATGGAAATGAGCATATTTTCATGTATTTATTTGCAGTGCCCTAGAGGCCAATATTTACAATATTAAAGCCAAGATGTTTAAAAGAACTTAATGTTTAAAAGTTTATCACTATGCTCTCACACTATTTATTAATAAAATTATATATTATCTATTTATTTATTGAGGTTTGTGAAATTATATTCTATAGTAACACATGAATACTTTTTTAAACTGTATAACAGAATTTCCAACTAAACTTTTTTTATTGTCCCCTATAAACAACAGTTTGGCCGGTCCTATATCCATGACTTCTTATCTCCATTAACTCTAGAAGGGTAAAGAATTCTCATCAATAACATCAGTAGCACAGAACTGATTCCTCTAAGGTCAGACATGCCCCTCTACTTACTGTGTCTTCTGTCAAGTTTCCCGACCATCCATTCCATGATTCTTACTACTCCATTACCAGGTTCACTAATTTATTGCAATGGTTACACAGAACTCAGACAGTTCTCAAGATTATAAGGTTTATTAAAGAATTAACAAGTTAGAATTCAAGTCAGAAACACTGAGGATACACTTCTTTATTCAGGACATCTTCATAAGCAGGTCTTCCTGCAGCCTTCACCCTCACAGCTCGGCACCAGCATTACAGAGCTCTTTTGGTTCTTCTGTCCTTTATGTACCAGGTATTTCCCTGCCAGTAAGCCTGTGGAAGGCCCTCAGTTCTGGGTCTGTCTTACCACTAAGGTTGTCTGACTTCTAATGCTACTGGGTTTGAGTCTCTTTTCAGAATTCTTCGATCCAAAGGACATGCTGTACTTTACTTCTGCTTCCCTGATGGTGGCAAGATTCCTGATTTTTGCCTCTAAATTTGCTTCTTAATAATATACACAACTCACTTACATGTTCCCACCTCAGAGATTTTCTTTACCGCGTTTACATTAGTGGTAACCTAGCCAATCACTTTTGTGAGGCCATAAACATTTTGTATTTGTATAGTCCATTCAGGCCATGTGGTGACAGTCAAAAGCCAATGACTAGAAAAGACATTAAATAGTCCATTATAGCACACCCCTGAATTGATACTCTTGCTAGTGATTTCCACACCTGAGATCTATTAATTTAGTTTAACGTGTTAAGTAGCATTCATTTTATTAGCATTATTGTGTCTGGTGTTCAGAGATGAGGAGTGTGGCACAGGATATGACAAGTTTTCAGATCTGTTGTTCATAGAGTTGCTATGATTAGTCATGCTGGACTTAACAACATTGTTAAATTGTTTTTCAATGACCTGTGCATAGAACTTAACAAGTTAAGCATAAGAACTAAAAATGAGTTCTGTTACCTTAAAGCGAAGAGATTGAGATTGTTCACAGCTTCAGTTTGCTTGGCTCCACGGTCAACACTCTTGGCACCAGTAGCCAGGAAATCAAAAAACGTATTGTGATGGGAAAGTCTGCTGTTAATGACCTCTCTAAAGTACTCAAGAGCAACGGTGTCTCTCTGGAGACTAAGGTGCGCCTGATACAGGCCATGGTCTTTGCAATCACTTGTTATGCATCAGAGAGTTGGACAATGACTCGGGAGGACAGAAGGAGAATTGATGACTTTGAGCTGTGGTGCTGGAGAAGAGTATTGAATGTACCATGGACTGCCAAGAAACAAACAGATTCATCCTTGAGAGGGTTAAGCCAAGCTACTCCTTGGAGGCAAGGATTCTGGGGCTTCGTCTGACATACTTTCGGCATGTTGCAAGGAGGGACAGGTCCTTGGAGAGGGGCATCATGCTTGGGAGGATGGAGGGACGGTGCAAGAGGGGAAGACCTATGAGATGGATTGATTCAGTGACTGGGGTAATCGGGATGGGTGTGTCAGAGGCAGTGCGATTGTCACAGGATAGAGCAGGGTTTAGGGCTGTTGTACATGGGGTCGCTATGAGTCACAAACGACTCGATGGCACATAACAACAACAAACAACCTTAAAGCGGTAACATGCAGTACTTGTTCTCTTTTTTGTCACTGTAGATTACAGGTTTTTAGGGTTTGGTTTGGTTTGGTTTTTTTAAGAACTTTGTGATTATATGTCCGGTGTTTTAATTTATATTTTTCTGGAACCATATTAATAAACTTCATTAGAAACCATACAGGATAAATGGATATCCTTTAAAAGTTAGATTCAGCTTAATAATTTTTTTTTAAGTGAAGGAATGAATAGACCACCTTCTGAAAACCTCATTACATTAGAAAGGTCTACATTTCAGATCCACCATATAGAGAACTGACAAAAGCTTATGCAGGGTTTAGAAGAGGCCTAAACCCTGCTTAAAAAAAATAAACTAATTTAAAATAAAAATAAAAAATACAGCTTTTGTCAGTTCTCTGTCTCTGTGGTGGATCTGAGATAGAAGAGATTTTGTTAAGCAACAGTGGCATTCCACTTCCTAAACAACATACATGCCTCTGGAAATTCTATGAACTTTCATAACTGACGATAGTTATAGAAAGGCTTCAGGCCTTTTTTTCATAGGGTCACTATGAGTCAGGCTTAACTCAGTGGCTTTCAACAACAACTGAAGAGGCCTTGGCACCGGGGATTTCAATGCTAATGTCAATTAGAGTCTGACCAAAAGCAAAGAATACAGTCTGACCAAAAGCAAAGAATACTATAATAATGACTGTGCAAAGGCATTTGAGTATGAATCATAACAAACATTGAGACGAATGGAAATATTTAATCATGTTCACATAAAACCTGTGTCGACCCAGAAGCTGCTGTCTGACCAGAGCAAGAGAATACTGCAAAGAAAGATGTGTCAGTTTTGTGTCCTTTCCCCTATTCAGTTTGTGTGTTGATTAGAGAAGCTGCCCTCAAAAGAAGAAGGTGGCGTCAAGATGAGAGGATGATTAAGCAACAACCTGCATTTTGCGGTGCTAAGCAGCCTTGCTCACTGAAAATGAGCATTTGAAACGTGCACTTCATATTATATCTTAATTTGAAGGAAAAAGTCCTCACCACTAGGCTGATAGGCAGCATCATGATAGAGAAAAGATTGAAATTGCCAATAATTTCCTCTTCCTTGAATCCACAGTCAACACCCTTGGCACTGGCGGTCAGGAGATCAAGATGTGTTAGGAAAGTGTGCTGTCAGGGTCCTCTCCAAGGTACTGAGGAAAGATGTCGGAAAAGAGGTGAGCTTGATGCAGTCACTTGCTATGTGTCTGAGAGCTGGACAATGAATAAGGATGACAGAAGAAAATCAGTACTTTTGAATTTTAGTGTTGATGAGACCTGAATATCTCATGCACTGCCAAAAGAGCAAACTTATGTCTTGGAGAAAGACTAGCCAGAATGCTCCTTAGAAAAGATGGTGAAGCTTTGTCTCACATACTTTGGGCATGTTGCTAAGAGAGACTATTCTTTGGAAAGGGAGGAAAGACCCTCAATGAGATGGATTGACACAGTGATAGTAACAATGGGCTCAAATGTGGTATAGTTGATGAAGATGGTACAAGATAGGGCAAGGTTCAGATCTGATGTTCCTAGGGTCACTGTGATCTGTACTTAGCACATAATATCCACTCTGTAGGAGAAAGAAAAGCAGTCTCCTCCCTGAAAGATTAGAGCTTCAGAACTGATGGACAGGTCAGAACAGACTTGGCTGGAGTGGCTTTGGTGTTTCTGACTTAAAGCCTTTATAGTGTAACCATGAGTAGTAAACCATGGGATTTGGTTTGGGAGTATAGAAGGCATGTAGTAATTCTCAAAGTAAACTTTGAGATTGACTATGTATGAGGTACAGACCTGTTCATAGGGCCGCTGTGAGTCGATGGTTCTACAGCACCTTAATGTTGTGTACCGTTGACTCAGCATCAACCCATCACTGACCTTCTAGTGGATTTTCAGAGACAGTAAATCACTTGGGAGGGAATTGCTCATCCTCCTGTGGAGCAGTTGGTGGATTCAAATCACATATCTTGTGTTGACACCCCAATTCCTTACCATTAAGCCACCTAGAAACAAAGTATTTGAGAGCTGCATAAATAATTTTGAAAACGTACATACTCTTTCTAGAACTCTAAATTAGGAGTTTTGGAACAGAGACTAACACTTCTTGTTTTTCCTCAAAAAGTGACATTTATTCAAAGAGGTGGAGGGAAAGAGGGGGGGGAAAAAGACAAGATGTTAATCCCTTGGTTCCCCCCTCCCCCCAGGCCTGAACCCTGGACCAGGGCTAGATAGCAGGACAGATGGTCCCTCCCAGATGAGCTCAGCAACATTTAGGGCATCTCAATGGAGGTGTTGTAGAAGGTGTCAGTGCTTTAAAGGGTCTCCTTTTCTTCTGTCACCATATTAATAGCCACACCCTTAGAGCCAAAACGCCCACCATGGCCAGTTCTGTGGATGTAGTTTTCCCTGTTGGTGAAAGGTCATAGTTGTTGACTAAAGAAACTTGTACATCAGTGCCTCTGGCCAGTAGGTCAGTAATGATCAGAACTCTGATGGAGCCCTCAGATCACGTCTTACTCCTTTTGGTCCATATCTCTGTTCATGGCAGGGACTGTGAAATCCTGGGCATGCAGTTTTTCAGTTAGCCAGTCAACCTTACTTTGTGTGTATGACGATGATGGCCTGGGTGATTGTCAATATTTCATACTAATCACATAGTG